TGACCAGTGCTCATTAGGGTACGCAAATCCCAGATATTCATCTGTCTTTTGACAAATTTCTTTGTGTGAGGACCCACTCATTTAACAACCGAGTAAGAGTCCTGTAGAGGTAAAGCAGAGACTTACAGGAAGGTACCTGTTAAGAAGAGGAGGAGCACTGGCAGCATCAGATCATACTGGTTGTCATTTACTGATGACCTCTAACGATGCCTAAGCGAGAGGCAAAACGCCAAGCAGGAAGATCCATCTCCTCACCTCATCTGACTGACAACAGAAGGTTTTTGACAAATGAAAACTACAGAAATCAGAAGAGTTCCAATCTGCTTTAAAAAGGCTTTGAAAATGCACGGTTATATACACACGTGCGGCACCAAAATATTTTCCTCCCATCTTCCCCATCACTTCCATCTGTCAACTCAAATTCAGACATTACATAGGACCTTTACTACTTTTTGTAAGAGGTTTAACATGACTTCATGTACTTAAAAAGAAAATTGAATACAAAAAGGGAGGTTGTGATGGTTTACTGTTATAATTTAAGTATCTCCTGTCTGTTAAAAGCAGCTTTAAGAAGACAGTTTAAATTTAGAAGTGCCTCTCAATTATTCTGGGGTCAGGAAGGCGAAGGCGCCGCTGGAGCTGAACTTGGCGACGGATGTAAAGAATAAGAAGAAGGGCTTCTATAGGTATGTCAATCAGAAGAGGAAAGTCAAAGAAAATGTACCTCCTCTCATGAGCAGGGCAGGGGAGCTGGTAGTAACGGAAGAGGAAAAAGCTGAAGTGCTCAGCAGCTTTTTTGCCTCGGTCTTCACTGGCAAGCTCTCATCCAACACCTCTCAAGTGGATAGACCCCATGATGGAAACTGGGGGAGCAAAATCCCTCCCACTGTGGAAGAAGTTCAGGTTCGTGACCACCTGAGGAACCTGAACATACGCAAGTCTATGGGACCTGATGAGATGTATCCCAGAGTCCTGAGAGAACTGGCTGATGCAGTTGCCAAGCCGCTCTCCATGACCTTTGAAAAGTCATGGCAGTCTGGTGACCTGGTGACTGGAAAAAGGGAAACATCGCACCCATTTTAAAAAAGGGTAGAAAGGA